GCGGCTAGTAGTAGTAGTAGCAGTAGTAGTAGTAGCAGCAGCAGTAGTAGTATCTCCAGGGCCCCTTAAAGTTGAAAACCTTGTGCAGAGGCCGGCAATTGTGATCTAAGATCCCAGAGTATATGAGTGACGGTCGAAACTCCTTACAGTAGGCAATGCACTCACAAAATTTGTGCTAAGAAATGTGTATATTCCCAAGCAGCAGTTTCCTGTGTTTTCCAGGGCTTGCCGTAAGCCACAAGGAAAAAAACAGAGCATGGATAGATCAAGAGAGCCAATTCCAAGCCCAACCCTCATAATGATGCTTTAGCATCGCACTCATCCTTAGCCCACCCCAAAAGCTTACATGCAAAAACCCAGGCCCCACAGCGACACGCCCTCAAACCCTAAACCCTCCAACCCTGCCCCGGGATCTCTGGGTTTGCACTATTCAGGCTTGGTAACCCCTAAAATCCTAAACCCTGAACCCAAAAAGTCCCGTGGGGATGCAAGAAATTGAGAAATTGAGGCTTGCTAAGCAGTACAGATCGACAAAAGGCCTGTAATTATTCTACATGAGCCACAGCCAATACTCGTTTGTAAGGAGTTATGTCAGTAGCGGACACGGGAAGCACAAACGCTGCACAGTGATGGGAACATTGAAAAGCGACACCCCAGAGTTTATAGGCGAAAACGCTGTAAAGCCATGGGAACATTAAGAAGCGACACCCCGAAATTCACGTGATCGCAGGTTAAGTGCGAAACCTTGTAAAGCGATAGGAACATTGAACAGCGACACCCTCAATGTCCTAGGCCTCCTAGGCAACATTATTTTTGAGCCTGGTTTGAACTTTCAAAGAAGTAATGAACAACTTATACAAGAGTCTGGGTATCCTCGAATGGTGCTGTAAATAACTGGTATGAAGGAAACACATTTTAGTAAAGAGCTTAGAGCACCAAGAATATATCTTGTCAGTAGAAATGCCATAATGTAACGTTTTTGTTAGGTGAAGAATGAGAGGATGGTTGCTGCTTCTTATCTAGACAGTGGGGGGCTTTCATTCTCATTAGGAAGTCGACAAGCTCTTCTGATTTCCAAGTAGAATTCTACAAACCTCTTGATCTGTAGAAAATTTACGAGCCTTACTTTAGTTGGCCAAGGATACAAGTTTTTCTGACAGCATGAGCACCCGCCACAGTACGCACCCAGAATAAGATGACTGCTTTTTCGGTCCTACATATTTCAGAGATTCTCTCTTAAGATGTTTGGATGTCATGAATCGGTTTAGCAGTCTTAGCACCTTTGAATCGAAAGCCTTCTTACTTCTTCAAAACAAATTAGAGGTGCTCTCTTAATAGAATGATTATTAGACTTCTTGAGGACGCTAGCCTTATAAACAAGTGGAGAAGCAACAAGCTATTTATCTAAAGCAAGATAAGGACTTTAAAGACGCAGGGGTGCGATATGAATGGCTCAAGGTTACAGTGGCTGCTTAAATTCCAGAGTGCCTGGGCGAAAATGGATAAGTCTATACTCATGCCTGAATCTGATGTAAATCTCCAGGCTTGGTTGGATCCGGGGATGTCCAGGATGCAAAAATATACATTATATGTATATGTATATACAAAAGGTACATCGTATCCCAACGCAGCAAGATCATCAGTTTCCACAGTATGTTCAAGTGTTCTAGGGTAGGGACGTTACCTCATTGAATAGAAAGGCAAATAGCAGGAAATAGATACAGCCCAATTCCATTGCAATTTCGTGATTTTCAGACAAGAGAGCACATATTGCACTCCTCCTCCACCAAAGTGTAAAACCCACAGCAAAATTCATAAACCGCATTTTTTTGAAACAGTACTGTTCTCTTATGCTATCTCACACTATTTGTACATAGCAGACTTTAAGGTGTTTCCACGGACCTTAATGATAAGAAGCTGCTTCAATATATTTATCAGCTAATTATAAGAAGCTGTAATTTAATGTCTATTGTCTGCAATTTCAAAACGCAGGCTGCGCAGCGACACCTCCTGTAGGGTTTAGGGTATAGGGTGGATGGCCTTCGTCATCTCGTGGGTGTTGTTCGCGTCCCACCCTGCAGATTTTCATTGGGGAGGTGTTTATTGAATAGGGCTCAGGTATTTGAGAAACCTCGGGCACTCTTGTTAAGCAGGATAGTGTCAGAAGCTACATATTAGCGTAAGTCGCAGGATAAAAGGTCACACAAAGATTTGCAAGAAGGGCACATTGCACCTGTCAAGGACGCCCCAGCCATTGCATCTGTCAAGGACGCCCAAGGCAGCCCACGAAAACCTATGTCCTTTTCTGATGGTCTAGTTTTTTTTTGTTTTTTTTGTGGGGATTTGCTTGCGTTGTGGGGGGGGGGGGATAGGTTTTCAGGGTAAAGGGCGTAAGGGTCTTTGCTGTTGGAACGATGCTGGAATCCTAACAGGTTATTTTTCCTGGCTTGTCGAAGTGCAGACATGCCCTATCCTTCAACAGCCCCAACCCCAAACATGCACTCCTAAGCTCAACTGACCCATTGCATTGGAGGTTGCAGGGCTCTTTAGCTCTAGTATTAATATTGAACAACTCTATCCCTAGTTCGCTAGCTCCCCCCAAAAGGTATGGGTAGTTTACAACTCTACGTCTGCCAAGAACACTTATCCACTTCTTGACCCTTTGGAGTCAGTAGAAGCACCCTCCCCTGTTGTTTCCTGGGGTCTAGGGTTTTAGAAAAACCGACCGCCAAGCACAAATACAAAACAGCAAGGCTTGATGTTCCAGATCGCCCAACATGCTTGTGGATTGCGTTGCCGTCGACGGCAGTTCTTCACGAAATAAGGCACTCAATTAAAATCAGGATAGGGTTTGGGGCAGAATGTCGTGTCTCAGGGTGGCGACCGCTGTCCACACCACTTGTTGGATCCTATACAACACCCCTCGTGGAGGTTGTAAGGCTCAGTGCTGTACACGACGTACTCGTTGACCTGCCATCTTGGGAGAGTGTTTTGTCTTGAGGCGCTGGCTTGCTTCAGCAGCCGAACTGGGGTCAAAAGCTCTTTTTGTTGCCTCGCGGTGGGCATTCATTTTCTTGTCCTAAACGGTGCGAAGTCTGATGCGCAGATGTCGCACGCAGCTCCAGCACAGCACAAGTTACAAGTAAAGCAGATGCTTCACAAACTTACATTGAACTATCTCAGCATTTTCTCGCTTCCAAAAGCGAAAGATATTGCATCTGGGAGACGCAGTCCACATATCTGCGGCGTCGAGGCTGCTCCCAAGAGCAGTACACGCTGTACACAATGTCTTGCAACCCTTCTGCATACAGGCACCAGGCAGGACATAACGGAGTCTGTAGCGGGACTCAGAGATGGTTGATTCAAAGGGGGTGCAGGGTGATGTCATTACTGAAACGGGCTCGGGCACGTGCCAGCGTGAAATCTCAAAAAGCCGTTGGCGTCAGGATGCTGCCTGGAATCTGCATCAAAGAGTCCCTCTGCCATCTGCGCCTACTATACAACGCCCGACGAGCTTTTGCTCCCTGGTGGGCGCGGGGGAGGAGGACGACTCCCCCGCCGTGCTAATCCTACCGATGTCCTCTCTGGTGCGCGCAGGGCATCAGCATTTCCCTTTCCCTGCGCTAGAGTCTCTTGTTTAGTTTGCTGCTGCATGCCTCTCAGGGTGCGAGCTTCGTATGTGGTAGCTATTTCGCCATCAGGATATCTTTTCACAAAGATGGCTCCGAACACGAGCGTCAAAAAGGAGAAGTACCCACCAAGTTTGGCACACAACGAGAAAAATCTGGGAAGCACGCCCTGTTTCAGGGAAATGGCGACAGTGGGGGTGTCGATGATAATTCTGTAGTAGATCCCTCCGCGCTTTTGTGTCTTGGATGCGAACTGCTTCCAGTGGGAGCATTGAGTACTTCGGTCGCCACAACAGCTGAAATCCTTCTGGGCGATCTGGTAGAATGTCTCTGTCGCAACAGAATAACCATGGTTCCATCCATGCACGTGCTTGTCCAGCCTGTAAACTTGCCGCGTCCCGTCACGATCTTGTTGAATCCACTGCCAGGCTTCCTCGGTAGCTTTTCACTACAACGCTGAACATAAACTATTGGTACGCTCAAAATGCAGAAGGCTGATCCCAAAAGTGACAAAGCTATAAAGGTGTCCTCAAAGTTTAACCAAGCTTCATTCTGCCAAATGAAAATGTCTGAGTTTGCCTGAGTCTCCATGCATAAATGGAAAAACGTCGGCGGCGGCGGCACTGACCAGTTGGTCAGATCGACCACCGCGCAGCTCCTGGTCTCTTGTTCCCCCCCCCGCCCCCGACGGAGTCTCTATGTTCATGTGCCTCATCGGCGCACCAACGGAATGAGCCACCAGTTGTTCACTTAGTGTTTGATTCCTTGTTGGCAATGCCACCCCAGCCCGCAAAAGTGAATCTGGGGCTGACAATTGAGAGCACAATGCCCATTTGCCGGCCCCGTGCCATTCTTGCAGCGTGGTCTGCACTGGAACGGGTTCTGTGGGGTCAAAGATCTGGAGCACTTCATAGGCCGCGTAGGCAGCAACACATCCCACCAACGTTATTTGGATCAGCATGGCGAGCCATCGAAACCGCTTCTCTACCCGTCGATAATCCATCCTTGAAAGATCTTCAAATTAGTGGGCTGCAGGGCACGAAAACGATCATCAGAATCCAATTCAAGCAATTTCCTCAGGACAGCACACCTGAACGCGGGTTTGGCCTGCTGACACAGCGCAATGCAAGAATAGTACTTGGAAACAAACCAATTGCTACTGGCTCACTTCAAGCATGCAACACCCTAACCCCAAACCGCAAACTCGCTGGGAACACCTGCAGTTCTTGATGCGGAAATTGTCGCCGCGGTCGTCGCCCAGGAAAGCGAATCGCTCGAATGCCACGCACCCATCACATGCCCCGAGAACCACAAACTAGATAAAAGCTATGACACCTATTTCGAGTTTGGGTTATATGGATATAGCGATTTGGGTGAATGGATATAGAGTTTCGGCCACTTGGCGATTAGCTGGAATATAATCCCACGGCAATTATAGAAACGTCAAGCCAGTTATTAACGAGATGAGTACTGCGTAGTTCAGTAAGATGGTTCCCCAAAGCGTGGCAAACTAAGGTGGTTTGCCTACTAATAGAGATCATTTAGGTCTCTTGTCTCTTCTGCACGAGAATAAAGCATTTGTCAGAATGGGGGGGGCCTGGGGATCTTAGGGATATATAGGGATTGAATATGCAGAATGATAGGGGCCTGGTTCAAGGGTAAAATCATAAGGACTATTTTGAGAAACTCCCATGTCATCAAACTGGCCACTGCTTGACAGGAAGCGAAGAATGACAGAAGCCAGCGGTAAGCTAGCCGCGTAACAAAAATCACTCAACAAGCCCTCCTTAATGCTTCCCCTAACAGGAACTCAATCATCAATCCCTGAACATCTTACTTTGCCCCATGAAGCCTGAAGCGCAGAAAAACACCCCCAAGCCCCCGAACTTCGCCCAATCCCCGAGAGCCAGGCTGGTCATCAAAGTCATGTCGGTATCCATACTCCGCCGGCATGAGGTCCCTGGAACAGTAGGCTTCGGGCTTAGGATTTCGCATCTATAGTCCCCCTTAAGTAGACAGAATATAGGGTTTATGGGTATCTTATTATAATGTATCCAAGCCACATTTTATCTATTTAAGGGTGACTATAAGGTCAAAGTTTCGGGACAGTGGAGGCTGTGGAGGTTCCAGGTCAGAATCCCTGCGCCCTAAATGCTGATGAGTTAGGGGTTTGGAGCTTCTCACTATGCCAGCCTTGGGGTCCAGCAAGCTAGGCCTGGAGCTGTGCGTTTTGGTGTGGTTATGGGAACTGAGCTGGCCGCATTCCATCATTCTTGGAACGGAATATTTTGGTTTGGGTGGAACTGCAGAAGACCGTGGCTGATTTGAACTTCATGTCAGGGCCGCAGGACCGAAACCCTGACATTTTACGGCATCTGATGCAGTAGATGCTCTCGTGCATGATGCCAGCCACGCCGCGACCACCAGACATTCAAATCTTTGTGGAGTTTCAACAAGATCGGATCTTTTTTGAGCTTCCTATAGAACAGCCCCTGCGTATTTTTGAGATATATGGGTATCCCTTTCCTGGCAACTTCCCTATGGCCCTTTACAACAACAATACACGGCTCACTGTGCCATATGCCGCCGTGTGCATGATGTTCTGTGTCGTTGCAGCAGGTTCTTTCAGAAAAGACGCAAGGGAGAACACAATCGCTCTCCATGGGGGAAACTACAGAGCACCTGTTAAAACAATTTTTGTGCAGGGTGATTTCCCTGTTCTTTGCACTTCCTAGATGCCCTAGTCACCACCTTTCAGGTCTGGAGACTGCCGCAGGGTGGCAGGAGCTGACCCGGAGTTCAAAACACATCTGACATTCCTGAAAAGTCAACGTAGCACCGCAGCCAATTATTGGGAATCTACATGGCCGTTTCCGAGAAAGAGGGGTCCTCCTCGTCCACCCCGAAATTCGGCTCTCCTTCCTATGGGAGCCTGCATGGAGAGAGCCTAGCAAGGTCCCTCTCGTAAAAATAAGCACAGCTAGGTTGGTCTACAGAGGGGTTGTTCCACAAGGCTACAGCCACACCTCTAGCCACTTTCCGTTGGGCAAAGGAGGGCAAGTCCAGCCACGTTACAAGACCCCGAGAAGGCTGATACGATCCCAAGCCATTTGCCATAACCCTTACCAGCCAGAACTGAAGCATCTGCCCAAGATCCCACCTTTCCCACATCTCTGGGGGCGCGGTGAAGGCGTGGGGCCTGTATGCTGTTTCATGAAGTGCCAGGAATGGCTCGCGGTTCGAATTACAGTTATGCTGCCGCACTAGGGGTTTTCAACTTTGTTACGCTCCACTGGTTGTTTTGGACATGATACTCGTCCGATCGGGGTCCTGAATCAAGCAGTTTGCAGAATGCGTGTCCTGAAGCCCAAGCATAGCTATCACAAAGGACTTAGCAAGTCAGGCTGTGCAGGATGTTAAGCCCTCTGCTCCAACTTCCTATCCAGACTCCCCTACACCC